ACATGGCCCAGTCGGTGCTTATCCTCTGAATAAGAAGGAACAGCGGAATATAAATGACATATGCCCCAAAATTCATTTACTCATCCAACAAATTTTGGTGGGCACTTTGCCAGGTACTATTTTTACTAAAAAGGAGCCCTAGTGTCACCATGGTTAAACACTGGACTGCTAACCATAAGGTCAGCTGTTTGAACCCACCAGCCACTATGATGTGGCAGTCTGCTTCCTAAAGATTACAGCCTCAGAAACCCTCTGGGGCAGTCCTACTCTGTCTGACAGTGTTCCTATGAGTTGGAACAGAAGCCACAGCAATGGGTTTGTTTTACCGAATACCCACTGCCATGGAGTCGATTCTGACTCACAGTGAAGCTACAGGACAGAGTAGAACTGCCCCACAGGGTATCCAAGGCTGTAATCTTTTTTTTTTTTTTTAATTGTGCTTTAGGTAAAAGTTTACAGAGCAAATTAGTTTCTCATTAAACAATACACAAATTGTTTTGTGACACTGATTGCCAACCCTGCGATATGTCAACCCTCACCCCTTCTCGACCTCAGGTTCCCCATTTTCGTTCGTCCAGTTTTCCTGTCCCCTCCTGCCTTCTTGTCTTTGCTTTTGGGCTGGTGTGCCATTTGGTCTCATATACATGGTTGGACTATGAAGCACATCCCTCACAGGTGTTACTGTTGGCCGTACAGACCTGTCTAATCTTTGGCTGAAGGGTGAACCTCAGGAGTGACTTCAGTACTGAGCTAAAAGGGTGTCTGGGAGCCACACTCTCAGGGTTTCTCCAGTCTCTGTCAGATCAGTAAGTCTGGTCTTTGTTTTGTGAGTTAGAATTTTGTTCTACATTTTTCTCCAGCTCTGTCTGGGACCCTCTATTGTGATCCCTGTCAGAGCAGTCAGTGGTGGTAGCCAGGCACCATCTAGTTGTTCTGGACTCATTCTGGTAGAGGCTGTGGCAGTTGTGGTCCATTAGTCCTTTGCACTAATCTTTCCCTTGTGTCTTTGGTTTTCTTCATTCTCCTTTGCTCCAGACAGGGTGGGACCAGCAGATGTATCTTAGATGGCTGCTCACAAGCTTTTAAGACTCCAGCTGCTACTCACCAAAGTAGAACGTAGAACGTATTCTTTATAAGCTATGTTATGCCAGTTGAGCTAGATGTCCCCCAAGACCATGGTCGCCAGCCCTCAGCCCAGTAACTCGGTCCCTCATGGAGTTTGGATGTGTCTGTCCATGCAGATTCTGTGCCTTTGCCAAGGTGTAATCTTCATGGATGTAGACTGGTGGGTTTAAACAGCGACCTTGGGTTAGCATTTAACCACTGAGCCACGAGGGCTCCTGAGGCACTACTTTAGGTACTGGGAGATAGAGGTGAGCACGAGAGAAGCTGCTTCTTTTCATTCTGTTGGGAAGGGAGGCAGACAACAGAGAGGAAACAGAAGATACGGTGAGATTGCACCGAGGCTACGAAGACATGGGGCAGAGCGATATGATCATACACAGCTAGGGAAGCTCCTCTGGATGGGGTCAGTTGTGTGGTGGGACTGGTTCTTACTGGCTCTGGGGAACCGATTACATGCGTCTCTTCCCAACTCCAGCTATGCTACAAATGAGGACCTCCCCTCCCTGCCACCCAGAACTGGATGTTAAGTATTTAGTAACATGCCATTAGATGAGGTAATCAGTGAGGTTCTCTCTGAAGAAACATGGAGGAAAGGAGTCACCCTCATGATCCTCGTGA